AAAGAATTCTGTACCTTGGGTTTTATGAAGATGGTGAAGGAAAAAGAATGAATTGAAACACCATCCACTGTTATTTTTTTAAAAAATATATTTTGATTTCAGAGAGGAAGGGAGAGGGAGAAACATCCACGATGAGAATCATTGATCATCTGTCTCCTGCATACCCCTTACTGGGGGGTCAAGCTTGCAACCCAGGTGTGTGCCTTGACTGGGAATCAAACTGTGACCTTCTGGTTCATAGGTGGGCGCTCCAACACTGAGGCACACTGGCCAGGGGTCCATTCGCTGTTCCTATGCACAGACTTCAAGATGCAAATGAAAGGTATGCAGCAGATTCTGCCCTTTCCTCTTTTCCTCACCAAGGATCTTAGCGATAACCTTTGATTACACTAATTCTGGTCCAAACTGATTTCTTTTCTGCAGGTCTCATGTTGTTCTTTTTTTTTTTTAAATTAAATCTTTATTGTTCAGATTATTACATTAGTTACTCTTTTTTCCCACCATAACTCCCCTCCACCCAGTTCCCACAACACCCTCCGCCCTCACTCCCCACCCACTGTCCTCATCCATAGGTGCACGATTATTGTCCAATCTCTTCCCTCACCCCCACACCCCTTTCCCCCCTCAAGAATAGTCAGTCCATTCCCTTTCTATGTCCCTGATTCTATTACAATCACCAGTTCATACTGTTCATCAGATTATTTATTCACTTGATTTTTAGATTCACTTGTTGATAGATGCGTATTTGTTGTTCATAGTTTGTATCTTTACCTTTTTCTTCTTCTTCCTCTTCTTAAAGGATACCTTTCAGCATTTCATATAATACTGGTTTGGTGGTGATGAACTCCTTTAGCTTTTTCTTATCTGTGAAGCTCTTTATCTGGCCTTCACTTCTGAATGATAGCTTTGCTGGATAAAGTAGTCTTGGTTGTAGGTTCTTGGTATTCATCACTTTGAATATTTCTTGCCACTCCCTTCTGGCCTGCAAAGTTTCTGTTGAGAAATCAGCTGACAGTCGTATGGGTACTCCCTTGTAGGTAACTGATTTTCTTTCTCTTGCTGCTTCTAGGATTCTCTCTTTGTCTTCTGCTCTTGGCATTTTAATTATGATGTGTCTTGGTGGGGTCCTCTTTGGATTCCTTTTGTTTGGGGTTCTCTGCGCTTCCTGGACTTGTAAGTCCATTTCTTTCACCAGGTAGGGGAAGTTTTCTGTCATTATTTCTTCCAATAGGTTTTCAATATCTTGCTCTCTCTCATCTTCTGGCACCCCTATAATTCGGATGTTGGTACGCTTGAAGCTGTCCCAGAGGCTCCTTACACTATCTTCGTATTTTTGGATTCTTTTTTCATTTTGCTTTTCCGGTTGGGTGTTTTTTGCATCTTCGTATTTCAAATCTTTGACTTGATTCTTGTGACCCTCTGGTCTGCTGTTGGGAGTCTGTATAATATTCTTTATTTCAGTCAGTGTATGCTTAATTTCTAGTTGGTTGTTTATCACAACATCAAAGGTCTCATTAGATTTCTTGAGGATCTCACTACATTTATCGGCGGTCTCACCAGTCTTTTCGAGGGCCTTATTAAATTTATTGGCGGCTTCTAGACAGTTCTTTAAAGACCTTAAAAGTGTGGTTTTGAACGTTATATCCAACAGTTTGCTTTCCTCCAATTCTCTTTCCTCCTAGTTGTAGAACTTCCACTCAGCCAGCCTTCCTGTGGTTCTGGATGATGTCCGTTCCGTCTTTTAGTTGTATTTTTGAAGTGGTTGTTCGAGGCAGCAAACTCCGGTGTTTACCTATGCCGCCATCTTGGTTTTTTTCCTCATGTTGTTCTTATGTGAAAAGGTCTTATGTGAAAAGATCTGCATCTTGTTTATGCCTTTATTGCAGAGTCTTTGCTTATGCCAGAATAAAGGACTGAGATATTGTGTAGATTTTCCATTTTTCCTCTATATTTCAGATGGAAAATCTAGTTGTTTGTATTTCTGTAGCCTGGAAATTTGCAGGTAAGAGAAGAGGAACTGCTTGAGAGCAAAGGCTGCTCCCGTGTGTTATACAATCTTGAGCTCATCAGAGAGACTGAGTTGGGTGCAGAACAAGGGTGGTGCAGAGCGAGCACCTTCACGACAAGGTGAGAACAGGGAACTCCCGGGTATTAAGAGGGGTCTGGAGACCCTCCAGTGTGGAGAGAGTTGGAATGCACCCTGTTCCCAGTGCTCTGCAAGGGCCAAGACTTTGTGGGCGAAGGGCAGGGGAGCATCTGGGCAGGACGGGCATAGGTTCTCTGCTTCGGAGCAGTCAGACTTCAAGGGATCACATGGACATAAACTTTGAAGATGTCAGAGAAGCTGTTAGAAAAATGAGGACCTGCCCCTGTTTTCAAACACTGGAGGCTGGAATAAAGTCTGAGGGACCATATAGCTCCAGCCCTGAATGGCACGAGCTTGGGGCATATGTGGTTGATACAAAGAAAATGTTGTTTCTGGCTCCAAGGTCACTGGCTCCGAGTCCATCAGATACACTTCTTAGAAGGCCTTGTTTCCCTTCAGTATTCCCTAACGTGCTGCCTGTGGTCTGTATAGACTTCTGATTGTTGTGACCATAAAAAGAGGTTGGTTGAACTGTTGCATTCCCTTTGTAAGAATTAGTCATTTGTGATCCAGAAGCTGAAGTTTTAGGGGCTGTGATTATTAATGGAGTTTGTAACTCTTGTGTGGGAAAAGCCACTTCCAGTTTGGCGCTAACAATAGATAACCCATTTTTTTGTAGCTTCATGAGATCTCCTGTATCACATTATTAAACACCATCCTCCCCTCTATATCAGCTCCAGCTATAATTGTTTCTCTGTACCTTGGAGCAGGTAATCCATTTTTAGTTGTGCTATTAAAAACTATGCCATTGATTATTCCTTGGTTTATGTCATGGTTCCTGAGGCTATGATTTAAGTCACTGTAAGTCTGGATCTCTAATAGATGTTGCTTATACATTGGATGGGACTGTCAGCACAGGCTGGGGCAAGGAGAACAACACACATGGAAATGAACATGGATTACTTACTCCCGGTGGATGAGAAATAAAGTCAGGAGCCCTGACCTCAGGTTTCTGAGAGCTCAGTGGAAAAGTTAGAACATTCTTACCAACACCTTTAATGCAAAATAACCTTAAAATAAGGCAGGAATTAATAAGGGTGAGAATTAAGTTACAAGGCATTATGGGCATTTAAAGAAGGGAGAGTTTATTTCTGGATGGAATACTTGTAGAATAGTCATGGATGAGGCATAGGATTTGGGGAGGTGAAGGAAAAGGTAATTTATATGCCTATTTTTGAGGACGCATTGCAGCTAAAGCCTGTGGATTTGGTTCTTAAGATAACCCACAGGCAATCCAATCCACCATATTTTTTTTGTGTCTTAAGCCTCAGTTGGAGGTAGATTAGAACAAGGTAAAGTCATGTTCCATTTCTTTTTAGGGGAGTTTGAATTCATTCCATTTTCATTTTCCCTTTTCATTCCTTTTAACAGAAGATCTAACTGAGCCAATAGTGTAAGTTCAGTTTCTCCACAGATGGGGCATGACTGGGCCAGGGGAGGGTTAGGGCCTCCCTTACCCCTTGGCTTTCCCCATGTGAGGCATCCAGCAATTTATAGTGAACAGCCTGGAGACACTGACTCTTCCCCTGCCCCCGCCCTCTTCTTCTCTGCTCTGGTGCCACTCTTAGGCCCAAGGGAGTGAAATGTGGAGAACGTGATTATCACTACAAGGTGCTCTCCACACACGGCTGAGATCTTCAGTGAGGCAGTGGTGAAGAGGAGAAGCACCTGGATAGAAAAGGCTCCACATATAATGGCACCAAGCCTGGCTGTTGTATTACAATATAGTATAGTATCTGATAATTACTGAGCACTCACTTGCCACAAAACCCTTGGCATACATTATCCTATTTACTCTGAATCACTACCCTATGAAGGAGATACAACTGCTCTCCTTATTTTTCAGATGAGGAAACTTAGGCAGAAATGTTAAGACAACTGTCAAGGTTACCAGCTAATAAGCATTAAAGTCTGGTTGTAGAGTCCCAAAGCATAATTTCCTTTTTTATTTTTTTAATCCTCAACTAACGATATATTTTCATTGATTTTAGAGATAGAGAGGAAGAGGGAGAGAGAGAAAGAGAGAGACAATAGAGAGAAAGAGAGAGAGAAGGAAAGAGAGAGTGAGAGAGAGAGAGAGAGAGAGTGAGAGAGAAAGAGACATTGAATGGTTGCCTCTCATATGCACCCCAAACAGGGATCAAACCCGCAACCTAGGTATGTGCCCTGCCCAGAAATCAAACCCATGACTTTTTGGTGTACAGAATTATGTTCCAACTAACTGAGCCACACTGGCTGGGGCTTAAGCCACACTAACTGCTTTCAGAGAGCAGAGCAGGGAGTGTACAGGGAATTTCTGCTAGTGCTCCCAGTACTCTAGTAGGTAATGGACATATTGCTGAGTTTACTTGCATTAGCAGAGATAATTTAATGAACCGCATTAAAACAAAAACAACGGTTGTACTCACAGAATTCATGTCTCTCATTTCCTCAGATGTTTTCTCTGTCTTCTGCCGTCAATAGGGCAGTGGCTAAACTGGCATTTTAAAAAAGCATCAATAATGAATTAAAATAGCTTTTTGATGAAAAAAGTATTGATAGCCTATAAAAGAGTAACACATTTAATAACTTGCCTGGAGTTGACTGACAACAGCAAATGAAACACATTTGCAGCATGTTGTATTTTGTTGGTTTAGATTCTGAAAAATAAATAAGCCAATAAACTCACCTATTGAAGATTGCTGGCTGTGTGTCTTGAGTTACAGGACTGTAATATTGATTCTCCAGTCAGGAAACATGAGTCTGAATCCCTAAATGTGCCTTTGCTTCGCAGACACGTATTTGTATAATTCTTCAGCTTCCTGTAGGAGGACTGATATTGAGCCTATAACCTATGTTCACTTGTCATTTACAGGTTCACAGCCAATTCTAGACTCTATTTCCAAAACCAGAGAGAGGGGGCATTTCTACGAGAACCTGGTTAAAGGGAGAAGGTGAGGAGCGCAATGGTGTGCTGTGCATGAGTATGATTTGATAACTTCTTTAAAGGGGAAAGTTTAATTCTTTGTTTTTCAGTCAGGTCAAAATATTCTCATATGAAATGATCCGCAACAAGATACCATGTGACGGAAGAAAAGGGAAGCAGTAGTTGCTATGGCGAGGGGATGGCGCTGAAGAGACCTATACTTTTCAGTATATATGATTAATTCTTTTTGCACTTCGTAGTGTGTGCATGTTTTACCTTTTCACTAAAACACAAATGAGTTTCCTTTAAGACTGTGTATGCCCTTAATAGACCTATTGCCCTGGGGTCCTAGAGAACAGTGCATGCCAACTCCAGGATCATACAAGGTTAGATTCCTTAACTTAATTTCAATGTATTTGCATCACAATCTCTCTCTCTCTCTCTCTCTCTCTCTCTCTCTCTCTCTCTCTCTCTCTTTTAAGAACTTGGATTAGGGAGACAGGCAAATATAAAATCTGCAGAGTGGGCCATCAGGTTGCAGACCAGGCAGGGAAGAGCCGATGTTATAGTTCAAGACCACCTACTGTCACACCTATTGTCAGAATTCTTTCTTGCTGGGGAAGGTCAATCATTTGGGGGGAGAGGTCAATTTTTTGTTGTATTTAGACCTTCAACTGATTGAATGAGGCCAAACCTCACTTGGGAGGGTAATCTGCTTTATTCAAAACCCACTGATCTAAATGTTCTCATACTCCAAAACACCCTAACAGAACCATTCAGAATAAATTTGTTCCAGTATCTGGGCAACGTGGCCCAGACAAAATGACACATAACATTAACCATCACAGAGACCTAGCCACAAAGGGATGAAGATGATATGAAGGATGATGTGAAGATGCAGGCAGAGAGCAAAGTGATATTGCCTACAAGCCAAGAAATGCTATGGATTGCTGGCAACATCCAAAGGCCAGAGAGAGGCATGGAATGGTGTCTCGTATAGGGCATCGAGGAGGAATCAATCCTGTCAACACCTTGATTTTGAATTTCTGGCCTCCCGAACTGTGAGACAGTAAATTTCTGGCATTTTAAGGCACTTAGTCTATGGTAATTTGTTCCAGTAGCCCTAGGAAGCTAAACTCAGTAGTGACATGGCCTTATTTTCCAGTGGAAATCAGATGTGATGTCCCACTAGGAAGGGGATGCATGTTCATGACGACAGGCACATTGCAGAACTCTGTGTGGGCACTGGGGAGGGCCAGGGAAGGGAAAGGAAGGCTTAGAGGTGGGGTTTCCAGGGTACACCAGGACCAAAAGTCAACGGCAAGCTACACACTGAAACAAGTGCAACATATATGATAGGAAAGTAGGGGTTCCTTTTCTTACATATGAAAAACTGCTGCAAAAAATGTAATGAGAAAAATATAAGTGCCTTTTAGACACAGGAAAGTTGAGAAACAATATCCAAAGAAAGAATGACAAATGACTACTATGTCACCACCCGGATGACCTGGCTCATTGCACATCCTGACGTACATTAAATCTGTGCTCAAGATTTATTCCTTTAAGTGTGTCCCAAAGAGGCATGTTCAGGATCCAGCTTGTGAGCAGACCTACATCAGGACAGATGAAGTAATGGGGGTGCTCACAGCTAGATCCATCAGCAGGAGTGCTACTGCTGCTGCTCAGGCATAGTTACAACAAAGGGTGTTGTGAAATATGAAAGCATAATCAATTGATTAATCAATAAAGAGGTATTTATTGAAGACCTCTGTTGTCTCCCACTCTGCACTGTGCACTCTGAGGAGCAGGAGAACAACATGTCCCGCTCCAACTACCGCCACCCCGCCCCTGCCATGGATGAGGAAAGACTGGGGTTTAAGAAAGAACAGGACCACAACCCAGGGAGGATGAATTGATCGCTCCAGATCATATCAGTTCTGGCTATACATTAGAATCCCTAGAGAGCTTTTAAAAAATACAGATGCTACTAGAATGTTTCATCGCAGCACTACTTACAGAAGCTCCACACTGGAAATTACCCAAATGCACATCAGCAGTGGTGTGGCTAATAGCTATGGATGACTCATAATGGAGTGGCAGCATTTAGCAATGAGCATGAGAGATCGACAGCTACATGCAACAATGTTGATAAATCTCTTTAGTATAATGCTGAGGGGAAGAAACCAGATAAAAAGTGTCATGCTTAAATGTACCATCGTAACGTAAGACGTTAACAACAGAGGCAACTTGGTGCAGGGTGTGCAGGATCTTTGTACTAGTCACACTTTTTTCTATAAATCTAGCCTGTTCTAAAATTTAAAAGCTTATTTAAATATAGAAAAGTCATACTGTATGATTCCATTTGTGTCAAATGCAAAAACAGACAAAATTTGCCCTCTGCCATTAGAAGTCGGGGAGGTGTTCGCACTGGGATGAATGGTGTCTGGAAGGGCACATAAAGGGGCCCTGGGGAGCTGGTAATGTTCTGTGCCTTTATCTGTATGCTGCTTACAAAAGCACGTTCCAGTGTGAACATTTATCGAGGTGAACACTTATTTGCACTTTCTGTATGTAACATTTTATTTCAATAAAAAGTTTAAAGCTAGTCTGATGTCCCTTCTACCTACCTAACTAAATCGTATTTCTTGGAGGAGGGCGGAGGGCTTGGGCAGCAGTGTTTTGTTTCTTGCTTAAAATGTATTTTTTATTGATTTCAGAGAGGAAGAGAGAGAGAGATAGAAACATCAATGATGAGAGAGAATCATTGATTGGCTGCCTCCAGCCTGCCTCCTACTGGGGATGAGCCCCCAACCTGGGCATGTGCCTTGACTGGGAATGGAACTGTGACTACCTGGTTCCTAGGTGGAAGCTCAACCACTGAGCCATGTATACAGGGCAGTAGTATTTGTGTGTGTGTTTTAATTTTATTTTTTGTTAATCCTCACCCTAGGATATTTTTCCATTGATTTTTCTAGGGACAGTGGAAGAGAGAGGGAAAGACAGAGAGAAACATCGATGTGAGAGAAACACATTGATTGGTTGCCTCCTGCAAGAGCCCTGACCAGGGCCCGGGTCAGGGAAGAGCCTGCAACCAATGTATGTGTCCTTGACTGGAATTGAACCTGGAACCCTTTGATCCACAAGCCGATGCTCTATCCACTAAGCCAAACCAGCTAGGGCCAGGAAATAGTGTTTTTTAAAAGTTCCCTAGGTTATTCTGTGCACCCTAGATGGAGAGCCCTGCTATTTGTCCTGTGGGCAGTGAGAGGAGCCAGAAACCAGTAGAGCCTGGAGCTATGAGTCCCAGCTTCCCAGAGAAGGCAGACCATGCCTGGATCCCCTAAGATTGTGAAGGAATGATGAGGCCAGCAGGGGTCCACCATAAATGAGCATTTCCAGCCGAGGAATCATTCAATTTCAAATTCTCATTTTATTTATTTATTAATTTTTTGGTGGTTTTATTTTTCTGGTGGTGGCTGCATTTTCACTTAGAAACTTGATTCCTCATCTCAAATGCTGTTGTTGAACCCTTGGGTTCAAGCGTCTCACCAGGCTTCATGCAAATAGAATTAAAACATTATTTTATCTATTTTTTACTCTTTTTTATTTTATTTTATTTCTACTCACGCTTTAGTAGGCCCTCTAGAAAGCTTGCTTGAAATAATGACCAGAAAAACAAGCCTCAGCATTTAGGTTGCACCATAGAAGCAGTCCCTGTACTGTAGTGATCAGCTGCTAAGACAGAACACGTTTAAGACTTCTCAGGGGCTAGGATGGCTAGATCCCCAGCTCACAGCAGCTCTTACGTCTGAGAGTGTGTCACTGTTTATGATTATTTTTAGTTCAGGCAATCCGGTTGAGTCACTGATGAGTGTCATGAGGGGCAGGGAGCTAAGGAATTTACACTAAGAGCATCTGTGAACTTGTTGCATTTTCATTCTCATAGCCTTTACTTCCTTGGGAGCAATGATGATAACAGCTGGACTTTATTGAATGTTGACATCACACCAGGCACTCTGTCAAGCCCTTTCCATGAATTATCTAATTTAATCTTCACTTCAACCTCTTGCACCCCCACTTGACAGATGAAAAAACTGTTGTACAGCATTAATAACTCGGCCAAGATCCCAATAACTATTAGAAGCAGAGCCTGTTGTGTCAGAGTAGTTAACCATGGTGAGATACTGCCTGTGTTTGTCCCATCAAGTTGGGATGAAGTGACCCTGTAACAACTTGTCTTTAAAGCCCTTACCTCCTCTCCTTCCCTATCCAGATTACCCCACCCCACCCTTCGTCTTACAATTTGTCACCTCATCTTTTCTTCTTCTCCCTCTGGCTTTCTTTTTCCATCTCCCGATACTCAAACATTTATTTTGTTTCTCCTCTCCCACTTTTTACCTCCAGAAGAGTAGGTGATAAATTAAATCATACTAAGATGTTGGGATTTGCTGAGCAATTGCATCTGAAGAGGAACTCTGCAAGGAGGATAGTGCTTGCAAAGGTGAAGTAAACTAACCCAGGGTTCAGCAAACTACGCCTGCAGGCCAGGCCCTGTTTTGGTTAAAAAAAAAAGTTGTTTGGGATAAAAGCTGTGCCCTTTTGTGTATTTGTTATTTATGATTACTTTGGTGCCACAGGGACGAGTAGAGTAGTTGCCACAGAGGATTGTATGGACCACAAAGCTTACTTGCTATCGGAGCCTTAGAGAGGAACTTTGCCCACTCCTGAGTTACCCTGTGGAGATGCCCTAGTCAGACTGGGTGCATAGGTGCTCAAGAAAAGCCAGTTTCCTCTTCTGCAGGTTTCAGGTGCCTCCCTGCGGTGAATTGTGGGCAGGTTCTGAAATCACCTCTGCTCATTCGTGGTGGGCATAGAGGCTGCAGTCCTCATGGGATATCCATTTGCACTTTGGCAAGTGAAAGGATGACAAGGGTCCTCCGAGAAACAGAGCAATGCATTATTCATTTTGCAGAGAGCATTTCCTGGTATGCAAGCAGCAGGGAAGCCCAGCCTGGAGGGAGCCGCCAGGAGTGGTGGGCTGGGCGGCAGGAGCCATGCCCCCGTGCCACAGATGCAGGGCAGTTAGTGTCCTGACAGCTGTTTCTTTCACCAGATGGAAGAAGGGACTGGATTCCTCTTTCTAATTATGTTTAAAATATCAAAAACTGAAATGAGTCTTCAAGCACTTGAAATTAACTGTAGTATCTGCTTCTTTATTATACCTTTGTTAAGGACCATTGTCCATCATGCAATCCTTATTTTTCATGGATTAGTAGCCGGGGGGGGTGTGGGGATTGTGGACACAGACACAATCGAAAGGCTAGGCTGCAGACGTACTTGCTACTGGCTCCATTCCAGGAACCCACTAAATGCAAGCCCCATTCCTCCATGAATTCTACTTTCTCTCATTTGCACTTATGGACCATTTTTTCCCACCAGGAAATTCTATTTCCCTTCCAAGGGACACCCAAGTACTGGGATCTAGTCTTTTCTCCAGGATAACTTACCTGTTAAATCCATCAGCTGGGACTTGCTCTTTCACATTGTGCCTCACAGCACTCTAAATAACACCGACGCCGTGTGGCTGGTTCAGTGCTGGAGACGGGAACCAGTAAGAAATTCATTCTGCCCTAGCCAGGTGGCCCAGTTAGTTGGAATGTGATCCTGTACACCAAAAGGGTTGTGGGTTCCATTCCCGGTCAGGGTACATACCTAGGTTGCATGTATCGGAGGCAACCAATCGATGTTTCTCTCACATCTCTTAAAAGTTAATCCTGTTGTCCCAGCCTAGCTTCCCCGGAAGGCAGGCTTCTTGGAACAACTTCATTCCTGGGAGCAAGAGTGAGGGAGGAGGGCAGCGAGGCAGGGGGGAGGAGGTGAGGACCAGCTGTAGAGCTGGCCTCCTCTAAGTGAGAAGGATCGCTTCATCTCAGGAGAGCATTTTCCAAGAAGTTGTATGAACTGGACCTGGAAGAGTTGATCCTGAGGAGAGAAGTAGGGGAGAATTTATCTACCGGCTCCCATCTTCTCTAACAGCCCCTGAAAGTTTCATTCATGGGCTCCCATGCCCCGTGCTTCCTGACTACAGGCACGGGCCCTGAGTGGGGTCCCAAGAAGTCCCAGGGCTCCTAGGCACAGGGATAGCCACTTGGTCTGCACTGTGCTGGTGCCCCTTGGTACCCTTATTTCCTCACACAGATTGGCTGTCCAGGTGAGCACCACCTGCAGCTCTCTGGTGAGGCTGTGTCCCTCCATTGGGTGAGCCAGCTATGAAGGCTGTGCTGTGCATTCTCCCAGAGGCTTCTGGTGGCCTGGAACCCTGTTCTCCACTGCAACACCCTCTCTTAAACACACCCTGCCTTGGCTTCCCTCTCCTCCCCACCTCACTCCCCCACTCCCTTATCAGTGCTTCTAGGATCATCTTTAAATTCTTATCTCAGCATCTGTTTCTGGGAGAACCCAGCTGGAGGCAACAGAGAGGCCCTGGAGGAGGTGCCACTGTGTGCTCTACCTGAGTAGCTGCTCCAGCTGCAGTGACAGCTGGGGCGGAAGTCAGGGAGCCGAGCGGACCTGAGGTGGGCGGACAGATGTCTGATGGGTTCTACGCCTGGCAAGAGGATTCCAGTTCACTGATTGTCAGTGGGCCCCGAGTGCAGTTACCTTTGCAGAGACTGTGCTGAGCACTGCCTGTGGATCACCGCACCTACGCCTCACCATTGTGAACCAGGCACTGTGATCATCGCCCACATCTTACAAATGAAAAACCTGAAGCTCAGAGCAATGGAATAACCCGCCTAAGGCAATATAATAAGGAAGGGCAGAGGCGGAACTTGAGCCCAAGCCAATCTGTATCCGGAGCCTGTGCTGTATGTTAATGGTTAAGGGGGGTGCATTTTAACCATTGCTGTTGGCAGGTGTATCATGATCCAGTTTCATGTTAGGGTACAGGGCCTTCCAGGCAGCCTGTTCCATGGATCTTTCATCAGGCTCAGCTTCTTATTTGAGTACGTGAGTGTGTGTGTGAGTGTGTCTGCATTGGGTGGTGGGAGCACAGGACCTGGGTGGGTTAACATGTAGAGACCCCTTTCCCTGCAGGGTGACTCAAAGCAATAACCTCCCACAGTTTGCAATCAGAGCAGGAGCTGGTCGCAGTCTCATGTCTGGCTTTAGGTCTTTTTCCAGGACCACAGGCTATTTCTAAATTAGACTCTAACTTACTGGCCATCAAATAGCACAAAGCAAAACAACTTTTTGATGAGTTAAGTGTAAATGAGTCAGAGGCAGAGAGATTAAGTTTTCCCTCAAATACACATGGGTTAAAAGAAATTATAGTCTCCAGAGGCGCCGGCTCCTGAGGCCCGAGTTTCTGCAGAGTCAGCACGTTGAGAAAGTTTCTGACTGCCAAGCCCCAAGCGCCACTGGCATCTGCGCCTCAGCTTCTTGCTGAATCCAGGAGGAATCCATCTTTCTAAATTCTTGCTGTCCGTCAGACCCGGGAGCCCATTTCTGTGCAAATGATTCCTTCTTATAATTTGTTATGTCACCGCCTCACAGAC